TCTTCGGACCATTGATTGATCCGGAGTGTGGTGCCACTCACGCTCCCTTCGCGGTTGCGTTCTGCAGGTTGCCGCCGTGTTTGGCATTACAGGTTGGCGGATTGGGACGGAATGCGGTCCTTCTTTGCATCCTACCCATGGGGGCGGGTTTGCTTCTCGCCGAATGATCCCAGCGCTGTTGCTGACTCTGTCACTGATGTGGTACTACAGGGAATGGAACTATTTATTCCATCATCTGTGGTACCCATCGAAGGCGGATCTCAGCCTTGTTTTGGTCGCTCCTGTAAGACTGCATTACGCAGTAAGCAGGAGTGTTATCAAGCCTGGGCTGCAGCTTCGGCGACTCGGGATGTAAATACCAGCAGACTTAAAAAGAAGTATAACTTCGCCTCCAGGTCCTTCAAAAGAGTTATTGCCAAGGCAAAGTCAGAGCACATAGGCAGAATTGGCGAGAAACTAGTTCGCCTTCCTTCGGGAACCCGTGCATTCTGGTCTCTCGCCAAGGCTATCCAAGGGAATTTCTGTAAGCCATCACTACCATCTCTGCACAGGGAGGATGACTCACTGGCCCATGACGCAAAAGACAAAGCCGACCTTTTAGGCTCCCTTTTTGCGTCCAACTCGACTCTTGATGACGGGGGGAAAACACCGCCGACCATCCCGCGGTGTGAGTGCTCCATGCCGGATGTGCTGTTCTCACAGCGCTCGGTTCGCAAAGCACTGCTCTCCCTGGACATCCAGAAGTTGAGTGGGCCTGACGGAATCCCCCCAATTGTGCTGAGGACGTGTGCTCCGGAGTTGGCACCGGTCCTAACGCGTCTTTTCCGGTACTCCTACTCCCAAGGCGTAGTCCCGAATTCATGGAAGACAGCTTTTGTCCACCCGATCCCTAAAAAAGGCGACCGCTCAGACCCATCCAACTATAGGCCTATCGCGATCACCTCCTTGTTCTCCAAAATAATGGAATCTATTATTAACTGCCAGCTCATCCGGTACCTTGAGGATCACCAGCTGATTAGTGACCGCCAATACGGTTTTCGTCGGGGTCGATCAGCTGGTGATCTTCTGGTCTACCTAACCCATAGATGGGCGGAGGCAGTAGAGTCCAAGGGGGAGGCGTTGGCCGTTAGTCTGGACATTGCGAAGGCCTTCGATCGGGTTTGGCACAAAGCGCTTCTTTCGAAGCTCCCTTCCTATGGGCTTCCCGAGAAATTGTGCAATTGGATCACCAGCTTCCTTGCAGATCGGAGCATCAAGGTCGTTGTAGACGGTGCATGCTCTGACTACAAGCCTATTAACGCTGGTGTTCCACAAGGCTGTGTGCTATCACCAACGCTGTTTCTTCTGCATATCAATGATATGTTGCAAACCATTAACATTCATTGCTATGCGGATGACAGCACTGGTGATGCTCTATACACCGGCCGTGCCAATATTTCTCGGGAAAACGTCGCTGAGTACCGGAACAAACTTGTGTCTGAAGTCGAGTCTTTGCTGAACAAAGTCTCGGATTGGGGGCGACTAAATCTAGTCCAATTTAATCCTCAGAAGACACAAGTTTGCGCGTTTACCGCTAAAAAGAACCCCTTTGTCGTATCTCCTCAGTTTCAAGGCACTCCCCTTCTTACCTCAGCCAGTATCGGTATCCTCGGAGTCGACATATCGAGTGACGTGCAGTTTCGTGGTCACTTGGAAGAGAAGGCCAAATTGGCCTCTAAAAAGCTTGGCGTGCTCAGCAGAGCGGGACAGTATTTCATGCCGGCACCCCGCCTGCTACTTTACAAGGCGCAAGTTCGGCCTCACATGGAATACTGTTCCCATCTCTGGGCAGGGGCTCCCCAGTGCCAGCTCCTTCCACTTGACCGCATCCAACGCAGAGCGGCTCAAATTGTCGACGACCGAGCCCTTTCCGATCGGCTCGATTCATTGGCACTGCGAAGAGATGTTGCATCCCTTTGCATTTTCTTTCGCATCTACCATGGGGAGTGCTCTGAGGAATTGTTCGGATTAATCCCAGCCGCCAAATTTCACGAACGCACATCGCGGCAGAACTCCCGATACCATCCACACCATCTGGGTGATTGGCGGTCCACCACTGTGCGATTTAGAAGATGTTTTCTTCCTCGCACGACCTCCTTGTGGAATCGATTACCATCAGCGATTTTTCGGGACCGATACGACTTAGGGACCTTCAAGAAAAGAGCGTACTCTTTTTAAAAGGCCGGCAACGCATCTGCGATTCCCCTGGTGTTGCAGTTGTTCATGGGCGGCGGTAGTCACTTACCATCAGGTGAGCCGCATGCTCGTTTGCCCCTACTCCTATAAAAAAAATATATATTCCAGACCATGTCTCTTCACACACTTTTCCGGTCTAGTGTATAGTGATAAGAAATAGACCTTAATTAATGCTAACCTATCATATTATATATATTAACCAAGAGCATTTATTTCAATAAGTCATGAGTTTATAAATCATGTCATAGATTTTAAGGTTCAGTAACATATTGGCAAATTACAACGACACATATTATCCAGCAATTTATTAGGATATAACCCTAAACCATTACGGTTTTTCTAGAAGTTTTCATTAATCAAATCCACGCACTAACTTGCGTTATTAAACTAGACAATGATGTCTTTATAATTATTTCTGTTGAATTTAACTATAGAAATTGTTCAAGTAATAAAATATATTAATATATGTTATATAATATTTGATAATTATGAGCCGTAGAACATGTGCTAAGCGCTACGATGGGCGCTACAACGAACTAATTTCACAGTACGCGAACAACCCGAGTTCGATCTCAGACGGCGTCAATAAAATTGTAAATAATTTAAATTTTAAGTGCTGATCTACTACGTGCTTGATGTTGAAGAAAAATATCGTAAGGAAGACTGCATATTTTAGAAGTTCCTACGTTACCTAAAAGCCTAAGACACTCTTTATTTCGTAATTAATTTACAAATCGATGGAATGGATACGAAAATTACGAAAATTTCTAAGTGACTAGATCAATGTTAAGTAGGTATAATGTTACTGCGTAAATTAGATGGTAAGTAGTTAATTAATGACTAAATAAGTAGCTGAACGTTTGCCGAACGAAACAAAAAGTAGCTTGGAAATGCCAAAAGTTCACGTCCTATGAGCGTTTTATTTAATTTTGATGGAAGAAATAAATTGCATTCTTGACTTTTAAAATATTATTTTCGTGTTTTAAATTTAGCGCTCTATTATTTTAACAGGTAGTGTCACCTACAGGGAAAAAAGTATAATGTTTACCAAAGTAAATCGATTACACAAAGTATAAAATCGATATAGGCTGTATGGTATATTTGTCGTTTGTCTATCGATGGCTAAAAAAGTATGAAAGAGTTATAAAAGTTTTAATAGCAATAAAAAATATAAAAGTTCAAAATCTAGTTTTTTTTAACTATCAACTTTTTTAGACATTATAAGATGGATTAATTAACGTGTTTTCTTGATATACGGCCTAATATGATCGTATAAGTGCTATATAGTTATGATAGAGGCATTTTAAGAACACAAAATTGTTTGACATTGACGTGTCGAGAGTAAAGCACTACCTAATAGTGCTTGTGTTATTAGGCGTGCACTATCCATGTAGTTGTCAGGATCACCGTCCAACGGGGTTAGCAGGAGAATTTTATGGAAGAAATTATTTATTTTCCGAATCCCGGTGCTAATGGTAAGCTAAAAGCTCATGTAAGTTCACTTAATCCTTTTATAGATCGTGTAGCAGTGTTACGAGTAGGTGGTAGACTAGAGCATTTACGACTCAGTGAAAATAAAAAGCATACAGTAATGATCCCAAAAAGTCAACTATTACGGACTTATTACTAAAGGACGCTCATTTATAAACTCTTCATAGAGGTTTACGGCTCATGTTAATTTACTCAAGTTCCAAGTATTGGATAATACGCGCGAAGTCTGTAGTTGGAGCACATTGTCGCAAATTTGTCAAATGTGTAAACTGATAACTTCAATATCGAGACTGCATTTTAATAAAATAATTAAGGCCGGCAACGCATCTGCAATTCCCCTGGTGTTGCGGTTGTTCATGGGCGGCGGTAGTCACTTACCATCAGGTGAGCCGCATGCTCGTTTGCCCCCTCTCCTATAAAAAAAAAAATTCGGAGGGTTATGGGAAGCCGGTGTAAGATCTGTTAAATACCGATTAAGAAGAGTTATATTAGATTCAACCATAACCTACAAAGAAGTGTCCACAATTTTATCTCAGATCGAGGCAGATCGATATTGAGTCAGATGCCATTGATGTTTTAACACAGAGGTATTTCTTCGTTGTGGAAGCCCTGTTGACATTACCAGATAAAAACTTTGAATCAGAATGAGTAAAAAGGTTATATATATATTGTGTATAGTATAGTCTGCTTCTCGACAGATGGCATTGTTTGATTTATGTTCGCGCTATTAAATGTATTACTACCGTTGTACTTAGTTAGCTGCTTATGTATGTCAATTGAGTTTAAAATTCGAGTGAATATACGAGTTGTGTTTACGTGAGCGTGTATCATTTCTAACATTGGTGCCGAAACCAGGGAAAAGAGAAGAAGAACCAAAGTGAACTGTGAAGTGCTAATAAGTGGTGAGAATAGTGCAAAGTAAACGAAATTGGACTTTAAAACCGTGAGTAAATAAACTTGTTAGATATCAGTGAATTAAAAGAATCTTAGGAAAATACTTGGACTTGTAAAAATTTCGTGAGTACGTTCTGTGGACTTAGAAAAAACTAGTGTTATTTTAGACTTGTAAAAATTTCGTGATTTTATTCTATACACTTAGAAAATTCTCAGAACCAGTGTGGACTTGTGAAAATTTTGTGATTTGTTACTATAGACTTAGAAAGTTTTACATATTATGGACTTGTACTATTTTAAGAGTTGAACTTCAGGATTGTTATAAATTACTAATTCGAAAGACTTTTAAAGGAAATTTACTCTAAATTTAATAAAATAAAATGGAGAGATTAATCAAAGGGCAACAAGAATTGTTTGAACAATTAAGAAAAGCCGAGCGCAATCTTAAGAAGGCGAACCATGAGGTTCGGGCAAAATCTAGTTATCTGATAGCAAGAATGGAAGCGTTAAACAAATTGGAAGAAGCTTTCAACCAGAATCATCTTGAAATAGTTGCCATAGCAACGGAGGAGCAAATGGAAACGTTACAATATTTTCAAGATGACTTACAGGATAGCTTTCAAGAATCTTTTATACAATACAAAGCTTTGTTAAAGGAATATCTAGATTATACCGATCAAAACACGACTATACATGCGATAGACGCAAATGAGAATGCATCAAACAAAAATCAAGGAAACTCTGAGGTGCAATTACCTAGAATTCAACTTCCTATTTTCTCAGGAAAATACACCGAGTGGCAATCTTTTTATGATATGTTTGTCTCATTAATACATGAAAATTATACACTATCAGCTGTTCAGAAATTGCATTACTTAAAATCGAGTTTGTCTGGAGAACCTGAAGTGCTTCTGAGGAATTTTGCTACTACATCAGCTAATTACAAAGAAGCATGGGAGCAATTAACTAAACGTTATAATAACAAAAGGTATAACTGCAATGCTATAATGAAGACATTATTTGGACAAAAGAATATACAACACGAATCTGCGAATTCCATTAGACATTTGTTAGACACAACAACTTCTTGCCTAAAGGCTCTTAATAATCTCAATATTGGTACGGAACAATGGGATGCAGTTATAATTCATTTGGTAGTGTCAAAGTTGGATCATGAGTCACACCGACAGTGGGAAAATTATATAAGTACCGCATCAGATGAATTACCTAAATGGTCTCAGTTAGAACAATTTTTAGAAACGAGATTTAGAACTTTGGAGATGATCGATACAAGTAAGCAAACTACAAGCAATAAGATGACCATACAATCAAAAGGTTTAAATCAAGCGGTAAAAGCTAAGGCATTTCATTCAGCTTTGAATGTAAAACAGAGTTCATCTGAACAGAATTGCGCGATGTGTAATGGTTCACATTTTATTTATTACTGTATTCAATTTAAAAAGCTACCAGTTCTTGAGAGACAAAATATTGCACAAACTAAAAGGCTTTGTTTCAACTGTCTAGCACCTACGCATCCTGTATACAAATGTCATCAAAATACTTCTTGCCGCAAGTGTGGTAAAAAACATCACACTTTGCTTCATTTTGAGAAAGGGGATAAAGAAGCTTTTAACATATTAAAACAAAATGATTCATCTAAAGGAGAACCTCAACAATGTAATAATGAAGAAACTTCTACAATGAACGAGAGGAACGTAGTAGCTAATTTTTCGAGACAAGATTTAAAAAATTATAATGTATTGTTAGCGACTGCTGTTGTAAAATCTAATTCTAAAAATGGTTCTTATGTGATTAGAGCGTTGCTTGATCAAGGCTCGCAAGCTTCTTTTGTTAGTGAAGATACTGTACAATTATTAGGTCTTAAGCGTACAAATGTAAATGGTAAGGTGTCAGGTTTGGGAGATGGTCAAATGGTGATTAAACATGCAGTTAGTATTGAAGTCGAGTCGCGTCACGTCCCTGGGAAAGTTATATGCGTCAATGCGTATGTATTAAAATCACTTACTTCATTATTACCAGGTCATGAAGTACGTATACCTGATTGGCTAGAATTAAAAACTTTACCTCTTGCCGATCCAGGATTTGCATCACCGGGAAAGGTTGACATATTACTCGGTGCTGACGTATATGGAGAAATATTGCTAAGTGGTATTAAGAAGAGTCCATATGGAAATCTAATAGCACAAAACACGTTGTTTGGGTGGATTTTGTCAGGTAAAGTAACACCCGAGTTGAATAGCGAGAATATTATTACTTTACATGTTCAAATAAGAGAGGATGAGATACTGAAAAAATTTTGGGAAATGGAGAATGAGCCTAATAGTATCGAGAAAAAATTAACAGCAGAGGAAAAATTTTGTGAAAAGTTATACAAAGAAACTACTTTAAGGCGTGAAGACGGTAAATTTATAGTAAGATTACCTTTTAAAACAGTTGACCCGCAGTGTCAACATGGTCAATCATTTGATATTGCTGTTAACAAATTATATTCATTAGAGCGAAGATTGTGTAAAAACCCTACACTTTATAACGAGTATATTAACGTTTTACAGGAATATGTAACGTTGGGCCATATGAAGGCAGTTAATCGTGATGATGTTAACAATTCTAAAGCCGTGTATCTTCCTCACCATGCAGTTGTGAGAGAAGATAAAGAGACAACGAAGGTTAGAGTCGTCTTCAATGCTTCTAGTAAGGGTGTAAATAACGTGTCTCTTAATGATGATTTACTTGTTGGTCCTAAACTCCAACAAGACTTACGACACTTATTACTACGATGGCGAAAACATCCGATTGGTATTGTTGCCGACCTATTGAAAATGTATCGGCAGGTATATGTGCACGAAGACGACACTAACTTTCAGAGGATATTATGGAGAACTAAACCTGAGTTACCAGTTCAGCACTATAAACTGCTAACATTAACCTTTGGCACTGCATGTGCACCTTATCTTGCAGTAAAAACCTTACAAACATTAGCAGAATTAGAAAAAGACAAATATCCGTTGGCAGCTCAGATAACACTAAGAGATTACTATGTTGACGATTTAATGACAGGTTGCGAAACTGAGAAAGAAGCACTACACATTTACGAAGAAATGTGTAAGCTGATGGGAGCTGGTGGATTTGAACTGCAAAAGTGGAGTAGCAATAGCCAATTATTTCTAAATCACATTAAGAAAAATAATTTGAACACCGAAAATTCCGTAACGATTAAGGTTGATAATATAATGAAAGTGTTAGGTATTTGCTGGAACAGATGCACAGATAATTTTGAGTACGTAATAAATTTAACTGACCCAGAAGAATATGTAACAAAACGGAAAGTTTTATCGGATGTTGCCAGGCTATATGATCCTATAGGATGGATTGCCCCAGTAATAATTACTGCTAAGATTTTCATCCAGAAATTATGGAAAGCATGCCTTGACTGGGATGAGAAATTGCCTGAAAACCTTTTGTCTGAGTGGTTAACCTTTAGATATGAGTTAGCAAACATCAAAAACATTTCTATACCACGGTGGCTTGGTTCAAAAAAGGGGTCTAAATTAGAACTTCACGCATTCTCAGATGCATCAAGTGTAGCCTATGCAGCTGCAATTTATCTCAGAGTGGTGGACGATAATAATGAAGTACACGTGAAGCTTATTACTGCCAAGACTAAGGTTGCACCAATAGAAAAGGAGGTGACCATACCCCGCTTGGAACTTTGCGGAGCAACTCTAGCTGCCAAATTATTAAACGAGGTTTCGCAAGTAATGGACATACCTAAAGTAGACTTATATGCGTGGACAGACTCAACTGTTGTATTGGCTTGGCTACGTGGACCTGTTAGTCGATGGACTACTTATGTAAGTAACAGGGTGTCCCACATTCTCACAATTATGGATGTTGAACAGTGGGGACATGTATCAACTAACTTTAATCCCGCTGACTGTGCGTCAAGGGGACTAAAACCGACAGAATTAAAGAGTCACGAATTGTGGTGGTACGGTCCTGGTTGGCTATCAAAACAAATCGTTCGTATTGAAAGACCTGAGTTGTTGGACATTCATGAAGAAGAACGAATAAAATCGTTTGTTGTTGAAGAAAGGCGATGTAATGATTATGAGTGGATGAAATTTTCAAACTTAACTAAGCTATTGAAAGTTATTTCGTTATGTCGCAGATTTCTGAAAATAAAGTTGCCGCCACATGAAAGGAAAGCATTTCCAAAATTTGCTACAACTGACGAGATGAATCAAACACTGCAACTTTGCATTAAACAAGTTCAAGAATGTGAATTCGCGGAAGAAATAAATTCTTTGACATTAAAAGGTTGTGTAGCAAATCGTATCGTGTTACGCACTCTTTATCCCTTTTTAGACAAAAATGGGATCTTAAGAGTAGGTGGGCGCCTAAGTCAAGCTAATGTAAGTTATGATCAAAAGAATCCAATAATTTTGCCTGCTGAGAATCATCTTAGCCTGTTAATAGTTGCTGATGCTCATACAAAGACTCTTCATGGTGGTCCACAACTGATGATGAGTTTTTTGAGATCCAAATATTGGATATTGAGAGCACGTAATATGGTTAAAAAGTATTACAGAAGTTGTGTCGTATGTTTAAGGTACTCTAAAGCAGCGGCTACACAATTAATGGGTCAATTGCCGGAGGTTAGGTTAAAACCGAGCAGACCTTTCAAAAGTTCAGGAGTGGATTATGCAGGTCCAATTAATATCCGATTCTCTCCAGGCCGTGGATCAAAATCCTACAAAGGATACATTTGTTTGTTCGTTTGTATGGTAACTCGCGCGATCCATTTAGAAGCGGTATCTGATTTAACAGCCAAAGGCTTTATTGCTGCATTTAGAAGGTTTGTTGCACGTAGAGGTCATTGCCAAAATCTTTTTAGTGATAACGGCACGAACTTTGTGGGAGCTAACAAAATGTTGTGTAAAATGTTTGATAATGCTAAATCTGAACTACATAATGAAATAGCTGAATTATTAACTTTGGAGTCAACAAAGTGGCATTTTATACCACCAAACGCACCTAATTTTGGAGGAATATGGGAGGCGGGTGTACGATGTGCTAAAGCTCATTTGAAACGAGTTGTAGGGGACAATATCTTAACATTTGAAGAGATTTCTACTATGCTGACGCAAATCGAGGCCTGTTTAAATTCGCGACCGTTGAGCATTCTTAGTGATAATCCAAATGACCCTCTCCCATTAACACCTGGTCATTTTTTAATAGGGGAGCCATTGCTAAATATTAACGATGTAGATTACTCTGATCAAAATGTGAGGGGCTTAGATAGGTGGAAAATTATTCAAAAAATGGTTAATTCATTTTGGAAAAGGTGGTCTAAAGAATTTTTAAGTAATTTAAATCAGAGAAATAAGTGGTGTACTAAAAAACCTGAAATTGATATTGGAGATGTAGTGGTGATAAGAGATGATAATATACCACCTGCCAAATGGATTTTAGGTAAAGTAATAAAAAAACATGCCGGACCTGATAATGTGACTCGAGTCGTTAGTGTTAAATGTAAGGGAGGGTATTTAAAACGCCCTGTTAGTAAGCTTTGTGTGTTGACTAAGTCATAAAGATTCAAATCCCACTGTTACGGTGGGCGGCTTGTTTCTTTAGTTGTTAAGTATTTGTTAGGAGTATGTGGATTTTTTTTTTTTTTTTTTTTTTTTTTTTAAACACAACTCAATGTTTCCAATTTGCAACGTGGCACGTGGCAAATTACTCAAAAAATGGTACAAGAGTTTTGGAGAAGGTGGTCCCACGAGTATTTAACAAGGTTTCTATATTGGTATAAATGGGCTTATCAAAACCCTGAACCTGGAATGGGGGAAATCGTTTTGGTTAAGGAGGACGGCTTACCCCCAAGTAAATGGCTTCTTGGTCGTGTGATGACGAGTACGGTCTTTTAAAGTTCTTTCTTTCGCACTAATTTGATATGCTAGATCTTACTTTATTTTTATTGTTTATCAAAAAAATCACAAACACACTACAACACACACACACTCACACACACACACACACACACACACACACACACACACACACACGCCCACGCACACTCTCACGCACACGCACGCACACACATACACACACACACACACACAACACACAGCTACAACTTCAAATCTTAGTTAGTTAATGTTAAAAATTATTTTTTCCCTTGCTGAGTTGTTTACTTAACAAACATTTATGTAATATTAGCGATCCACACCGGTTTCACACGGGTGTTTTTTTTAATATAGGATAAAGTGATAAACGAGCACACAGTCCACCTGATGGTAAGTGGTTCCTATGACCCATAGACATCTACATCTATCCTCCATAAAGAATCAAAAAGCAGTTTTATCACCCGTGAGGACTAAGATGGAATGCTTATTTTTCCAGTAAAAAAGGTTTCCGATTCTCTACACTGACCATAAGAAACACAATAGAGTTAAAATACTCTTTTACGCTGGTATTCTGTGAGAGAATGGTCCTTGCCCGGTTGAGCCGACCCATACTAATATAACTGGAGCATGGCACCTACCGGGTCCAATTATGAATCTAAATTTATTCAAACAAAATAAAATATTTCATCCAGCGTCCAGCCGTTTAGGAGGTGCTCAGTGACGAACGCATGTACAGAATAACTATATTTATAAAGATAATATACAACATACATTTGAACAGGTAACGAATTAATATAAAGAATAACGTATAAAAGTTTATTAATAAATAAGAAACTTAATTACAAATTTCATTACAGCCCAACCATTAACCCATAGGCTTTTGATGACTATATATTGAGTGTTTTTATTAAGATATTAATATTTATTCTGATATCAATATCACAGTATTAATTTTAACTTTTTTCTCTAGATTTTAATGACATTATTAGTAAGTGACATAAACTATTTAGTATTTATGGTTTGTGGGAGCGGTTTCTTATGATATTTTATTTTATAATATTAGAACGAAAAACGACTTCACAAGTCATCTGAAGCTAAGTGACTATTGTAAATACATAATTGTATACGGTGGAGCCACGCTGTAGCTATATTATGCTAGTAGCAAGAATGGGTCGGATCGACCGGTGTAGGATAAGAGCATAAAATAGCAGCTTAAGGGGCTACTCCATGCGAACGACCTTGAGCATTTGGTGTGTCGCGCCGACTCGCTACAATATAATATCACGTAAGAAATATGTAAGGCGCCACCTACTGTAAGAACGTAGTATTTTTTCAACATCAATAAACTATTTTATGGAAATACACACAGCGTACAACGATAAATGTATCTCAAATTTTTTATTCGGTATATTAGTTGCATTATATTAGAGTTATGTATTCTCATATAATATTATCTAATTATGAAATTTTATAATTAATTATATATTAAAAATGAAGCATTGAAAATTGTGAGTTTAAAAGATACCTACTCACTATAGGTAAATAGATAGATAGCTCGCCTTTTGTACAAATATTTGGTGCAATAAAGAATAAATAAATAAATAGGATGTTTCGCAGAGTGAGAGTAATATATAATGAGAGTCGTGGAGGCAGTTTACAAACATAAATTGCACAAGGACAAACATCCAGACCCGGAACAATTATTTGTAGGCCATACAAATACTTGTTCCGTGCGGGATTCGAACCCGCGGCCCCCAGTGCAGCAACTGATTGCTAAGCCAGTGCGCCACGGAGCCGTCGCCGGTTTATAGCTAAAGTGACCATACGTCCCGTTTTGAACGGGACTGTCCCTTTTCTCAGTCACCTGTCCCATTGTCCCCAAACAAAGCTCCGGGACACAAAATTGTCCCGTAACTCGTTGGATGGAAGTATTCAAAGTCAACAATCTTCAACATAATTTTTTTTAATCGAATATATTTTATGTCTCCCTGGTACAAATACTCCAGTAGAAAGAATATTTTTTTATTTTTAACAAATTGTGGACGTCTGAAAGAAACACTTACGGTTCCAGTTCTAAAGGCGATGTTGATAACAAAGGTAACAATAAAAAAACTTATCAGAATTTTATTCTTATTTAAAATTATCACCAACTTTATTAAAGCAAATTTAATCCACTGACAAATGTAATTAATAATTAAAAAAATATGTTGCATTTAATAATTACCGTCTATACCGAATATAATTTTATATTGAACACCAATTGTGTAAAGTTATAGTTTTTAGAGTGTAAATAAACCCATGTCCTGTTTTGAGTTAAAAAATAAATGGTCACTTTAGTTTTTTTTAGTTAAATTTAGTTTAAAATTTTTTTAGTTTATAGTAAAAAGTAGGTATATTAATACCTACTTAGATACTTTTTACCGAATTAGGGTAGAAGCCCCTAATACCAGTCATGCCCCTAATTGCAGTCTTTTCGCCTTTTTACTCCATAAATAAGATTTCTAGTAGTCTTAACTACAAATATTTTCATCTAAAAAATTCTTTGTACCTAGAGGAAACTATATTTATTCAAATATTACCTCGCAGTTTTAAACCTAACAGTGTTAAAATCAAAACAGGTACGCAACGAAAAACGATCATTTTCCTAATTATTTGATAAGTTATGATCCCGGTAAAATTATGCTTACTTTACATTATCTCATATATAGGCTTTTTGATTTGTATGAATATGACTATAGACATAGTAATGCAGTTATTTTTGTTTGAATTTACAACTTATTTATTTTCTTTTAGTGGAAATTAATGGGACTGTAATTAGATAATATAAGAAATGTATGGAGTGCATAATGTCAGCCGCCCGGCTGTTATTTGGTTTGACGTACCTAATAAGATGTACCTAATTTCAGCCACGTAATATAAATCAGAGCTGCCATAAACTGGAATAAATACCATTAATTAGATCATAACTTATTTTATAGCTAAGGGAGTTATGATCAATTCGTCTGTTTTAAAATTGGTTTTAGATTTTAAAGTTTAGCAAAAGATGTACTAGCTTTTCTCTCTGACATTCGGCGTATAGAACATCTTATGTACTCAATTATTTTTTTTTTTGAAAAAGAAGAAAAACAAGCAATAAATAAAAACAAAAACGGGCCAAAAACTCATAACTGACTTTTTGACAAGACCCGGGATTCGAAACCGAGACCTCATGATCAGCACTCGCACTACTACAACCACTAGACCAACGAGGCGGTACTATACCTAATAAGATATTGTGGTTGGGTGATAATATTGAATTAGCCTTTTATAGTGTAAATTATAATATTTGTCGAAATTTTAATTATGGATTCGAACCTTACATGCTAATGGTGCTTCATTTTTTTATTTGCATTTACTTCAAAGAAAATACACGCAAAAAGCTTCATCGCGCAGTAAAAAACACAACAAATATATGTATAACTAATACGAAAAATTATACCCAAAACAAACAAATAATACTACCTATAAATAACCTAGTTTAGTTTAGTTTACGACGGGCTGTTTTCCGCAACTCCACGTCTATGCGCGTATTTTGCGTGTGGGCAGGAATAATGTGATTATTCGAGCCATGAGATCTCTCCGAAGAAGCTCAACAGGCCCTTGATGTTGCATGCAACTTCGGGGAGTGATCCCCGCGTGCCGAGATGTTTAGCCCTGTATGTAGCGACCTCCGGACATTTCAGTAGCACTTGGGCCGCCGTTTCTTCCTCCCCCATACATGCCCTGCACAGGGGACTATCTGTAACACCTATAGTAAATAAATGTTTGTTAAAGGTGCCGTGTCCTGTGATAGTACTTGTTACTATCCTAATCTGCGGCTTGTTCAGTCTCATTAAAACTTTTGTTAAGCGACTGTTAATTTCAGGCAGGGCATCCCTAGCTTGTCTACAGTCTACTAGATTTTTCCAAAGCTGAGCGTGTTGATTAGTGAAGTGTCTACGTACCAGTGAACAAACGTTACCAAAGGGGATTGGTATGATTGGTTCCGGCCCTATAGTGGCCAAAGCCGATCCTCTTCTGGCCAGTTCGTCTGCTGCATCGTTGCCTCTGGATCCACTGTGTCCCTTTATCCATTGCAGGGTCACATTGTTGTTTTTACATACCTCATTTAATCGTTGATGGCATTCATATATTAGTCCCGAGTTCACCACATTGCATCTCAGGGCTTGGAGTACTGCCCTACTGTCGGTCAGTATTCTGATGGGGAAGTCATTAACCTTCCTAGCATCTATTGCTATGGCCGCTTGAATGATACCCATACATTCCGCCTGAAAGACCGTGTTATAGGTACCCAGCGGTGTGCATATGTGAATATTGAGGTCTTCAGAGAAAGCTCCACAACCTACACCTTCATTTGTTTTAGAACCATCGGTGAAAATTCTAAGCTCTTTTGGGCTTAATCCTTCCGGCTGGCTGTTTTCATTTAACTGTATCTTGTATTTCTTATCGAAAACAAATTGTTTAGGAATCCTATCATATTTGGCTTGTAGGATAGGAATTTTTGAGTGAATTCTATCAATTATGCCTGTATGAGGGACACTATTCTTACTCCAAAGATTTAGGGTCTTGAGTCTGATGGCAGCTAAAGTCGCTTCTTGTTGTATATGTAGATGAAGCGGAGTTAGCTCCAGCATCGCTTCTAAGGC